TGGATAAAATGAGAGAAAAAGCCCAGGATAAACTTGAATTATGGAGGTCTACATTGGAGTCTAAAGGCCTTCGTTTAAGTAGAACTAAAACTGAATACATGGAATGTAATTTTAGTAGTAATAGCTCTAGTGACAGAAGTGTGACTTTGGGTGATCAAATTATTAAAAGGTGTGAACGATTTAGATATCTTGGGTCCGTTGTCCAAAGCGATGGTGATATAGATGGGGATGTTAATAGTAGAATTCAAGTTGGTTGGTTGAAGTGGAGGAATGCTTCGGGCCTTTTGTGTGATAGAAAAGTACCGCTAAGGCTGAAAGGAAAATTTTATAAGATGGTGGTGAGACCTGCAATGCTCTATGGCGCTGAATGTTGGCCTTTAAAAGAGAAGCATAATAATAAGTTAAGTGTTGCCGAGATGAGAATGATTAGGTGGATGAGTGGCTTTACACTTAGAGACAAAATGCGGAATGAATATATTCGTGATAGGGTTGGTGTAGCTCCTGTGACAGACAAAATTAGAGAAAGTCGTCTTAGATGGTTTGGTCATATTAAACGTCGACCATTAGATGATCCGATTAGGAGAGTAGATGTTTTAAATTCGACTTGTGTTAAGAAAGGCAGAGGTAGACCTAGGAAGAATTGGGCTTATTGTATTAAAAATGATCTTAATTTACTAGAACTAAATGAAAATATGACACTAAATAGGACGCAATGGAGAAAAAGGATTCATGTAGCCGGCCCCACGTAGTGGGATTAAGGCTTTGTTGTTGTTGTTGTTGTTGTTGTCAGAGTTGTTTCATGCTATAAGGCAAGCGTAATTGGTCAAAAAGTGTTGATTGGCTAGCAAACTTAATTAGTCGAGCAGCTGTCTTACCTAATAAAGTGAGATTATTATATTATCTATTACTCATATGCATGACTAGTTTGAAATATTCCCCTAAAGCTCATTATTCATGCATAGTTATAGTCTTGTTAATGAGAATATAAGATATGTGAAATTTATTAAAGGCATTAAGGTAAAGTGTTTACATAAATATATGAATGGTTTTCTCCGTGAAACTTGAACAAGTTAACCACTTGAATAAAGTGGCGCAGCGAAATGCCTACATGTTTCAATTCCTAATAAATTATTGGGTTAGTTCGACATGTTAATGTTTCCTATCCGACATAATATCATGACTCATTAATCAATTCCCTAGTTTTAGCTCTTTCAAATCATTCCTGGTGGCTTTATAACTAAGACATCATTTGCATATGTTTTGAGATTATCATTCTAATCTTGTTTTTGAAATCATTATTGGTGGTGAAATGTTTCCACTATGATGGTGGATATCACTTACAACTTGTGATGTGGAGAAGTCCTTAAAGTGATGATTCATGGACGTCTCTGTAAACAATTAACAAGTTTGCCAAATTCATATCAATTGAATAATATGGGACCGATTTTTTCAAAGCCAAAAAGAAATGATGCAATGGATCCCTTATTGTGTGCTCATATTATTGCATATGATTCATTATCTTATGAATAATTTTATTAGTGACTTGTGATTTTAATGGGATTGTAGCTCATATGTTGTCATTCGGCTTTTGGGATTGTAGCATGTTGGTGATTCCTTAAGTGGTTTTTTGGCTGTTTTGGCTCTCATGAGAATATTCTTTTCTGGCTCTTTGGACTATAACTAAGATTTTGTCTGTGCTTTTGTAGGTTCTTTAGAATTTATGGTTTCTCTTTTTTTGGTTTACTTCTAGGGGTTTTATTTAATTTTCATTTAGTGATTATAAATAAAGATATAAGACATGTAATGAGAATATTACATGTTGAATGAAATTTAGTTTTGCATGTATAACTCCCTATCTTAATAGGATTTAACTCCCTGATCGAAGTTGAGACTTAAAAGCCTGTGAAAGGTTCTCTCTCTTTTATATATGTGTGAAGTCTACTTTTGTGGTATCCTATTTCTCATTTATTTGCTTTCTTCCCTTTTTCCTAATTAGTTATAGATAGAATTTGTGTTGGAGTTCTATCACATTTGTTGTCGTCTTGATTTCTTTTTTGTTGCATAAGATTTTAGGTATGTGTATGGCTGTTGTGATCCTTTCATTTTTAATTGTCAATTTGTAGTGTGAAGCGATAAACTTTCGTTAGAATTGGATTTTATACTTTTTTTTATTCAGTTGTCATCTATACCGGTGAATATATATTGGAGATTAAAAAGCTTCAGTTTTTGCAAAATTTTTATGTTTTTTGTCATTTTTTTTAATTGCAAGTTAGACGTACTTTAGAAACCCTGGATCGAAGGTTTTACATCATTTGAGTTTTCTTAAAAATTTCTGTGGATATTCATGATTTCATTCTATTGATTGTTTGTTTGGCTTAGCTCTGGATTGGATTTTGTTATTTATATTGTTTAACTATGTGATTTATGTGGACACCTTCTTGATGACAATCAGGTTTGGAGAATCTATTGTCAGACCGGCAGCTGGCTCGGACAACAAGAAGATTTCTTATCAAACTAACCACCATAGAAGAACTCCAAGTGTTCTTACCAAAACTTTGGCATCTCTTGCGGATGAGTACAGAAAACTTGCAATTGATTGTGTCAAGGTTTTACGATTGGAAATGCAGTTGGAAACAGTTTTCCACTTGCAGGTAAGAGGCTTTTGCATGACATACTTCTATGAATAGTTGAACAACAGTACATCTTGCCAACTTTCCAATGAATGTAATGTAAAATATGAATGAATTCTCTAGGAAATGGCCAGTAGGGAATATCTGGAAGATCAAGATGCAGAAGAACCTGATGATTTCATTATATCACTAACTTCTCAGGTTGGCAATTCTCATGGCTGAATTTGCTTATCTCTTTTATCAAGATAATGCAATTTCATCATTTCATTTTGGCTACTTTTATCTTCACATTATTTACCATTATCTCTGAGGAACCTTATAATGAACAACATTCATTTCTCTTGTCCATTTATGTGCTGTAGCTGTCTTAGAGCTAATTTAGTCTTTGAGTGTAATCAAAGGATCCATTTTTTTCAAGTTGTTTTTTACCAGTTGGATGTTGTAATGTTGATCAAAATAATTTGTGGCCTTTTAGGGCAGTGAGAAGATAGACCCTGATTCTTATCTCATTGGATTTTCTGACTTCATTGGGATTCTTTTATTTTCAACTTACTGATCTATCATCCGAACTTTGGAGTTCTAGATGTTGTAGTTCAGATGCTTTCCTCAGATTCTTTAAATCTCTTTGGCTTTCCTGACGTCGACGGGCATCTTATATTTTCAAAATACTGATCAGAAATCGAAACTTTGTAATAATTCAGATGCTTTCCTCAAATTCATTAGTTCCTCAGTAACATCTTTGTTAGAGCTGCCTAAATTATTCATACAAGATGTACTTCATGTTCAATCAAACAATCTTTTTTAGATCCTGAGACGGACAATCCCTGTGTTAGATAATAGTAACTTTGATCCATTCAGATTTAGAAAATGTTGCTAATAGTTTCAGCATCTTAATGACCCGGCATTTGGTGTATTTCATATAAAATTCAAATCTTTTCCTAAAAAAATTTTAGGTCTAACTCATTGTCTGTGCTGTGTTCTGTATTTGTGTGGTTGGAATACTGATAAAGTACCATATTTTGTCGATCCAATTTTCATTACCCAATTTGAGAGCTTGGAATTGCTTCGGCAGGAACAGACAATCAAATAAAGAAATTCAAATTTCAATTTTTATCCCTTATTAAGAAAGATAATCATCCAAAAAATCGAAAGAGTAATTAACAAATAAAATTTTATTTAGCTTAACGGTAAAAAGGTTGTAAATGTAATTACATTCATCTAATTTTGCCACATATTCGGTAAACTTATTCTCTTCTTTTATTTATTCTTTTACCAAAGGCTTATGCTTGAAAATGTTAGTTTAAATTATCACGAGCTATAAAAAATTCGGTGTAAACTCAATACTTCTAAAATTATAATTTTATTGCAAAAATTGAAAATATGTGTGTCAAATACTTTTAACAATTTATATGTTAAAAAATAATCATTAAAAAAGTTTAAAATTTTTTTATTATATTGTGCAATATCTTATTTTATTTATATCATTTTATATATTTATTCATCTTCAGAATGCCATCTAAAGTTATTTTTTTTAAGGTGTTTTAGTATCAATTTTCTTTTCCAGTTTATGCACATGGGTATCTTAACGTCCCAATCTAATATCATTAGTGTTTGAATTTCATCAACATAGACATACAAATATTTATATAGTTCATATCATTTAATATTTTTTGTTATAATCGTTGTATGTAATAAATAACTTTAAGCATGCTTGGATATGTGACTTTCTTTTCAATATGATTAATTCATCTAGTGGTACAGTAAAATCATGGTTGTATTTCAATTATCAATCTATCTAAACATTTGTTTGATGCATTGAGTTCAGAAAAAATCAACAATATTATTGTAATTAAAAGATATGAGTACTCTTGTCGACCTTAGAAGTTTTACTTTTTCTTCTAATCGTTAAATATTACCTACTTAGTAGAATACAGATATCAACATGCATATAAACATAAGATTTTTATATCCCTAAAAGATTATTTCCCCGTATTCCATTGTGTTTAAGTAATTATACTTCTTTTTTAATAAATTTTAAAATCATACTCAAAGGCTTTTTGGATTGGTAAAAAATTGGTGCAAAGTAAATTGGATGGATTCATCTTGAAAATTTTTTTTTTTTAGTTTGAGGAAATGAAATGGAAAGTAAAATTTTGAAATATAAATGGGAATTCACCTGATTTTTGTTGAATTTCAAATACATTACAATAGTGAAGCTTTGCCGACTTCTCATCGCCATCCACCTACTGTTGATTGTTGTATGTCGCCTGAGGTCGCCCTTTTTTTGTCGCCGTCCGCTACAGTTGTCTATGTTGTCCATCATCCACTGTCAGTTGATATCTTCTGCTGTTGCGGTTGCCACCCGCTACTTCCGGTCACTGGTCAATGGTCGTCAGTCACTATGACTATTTTTTACATTAATTTAATTTTTCTTAAAGCCAAACAAAAAAGTATAAAGTTTTACATTTGATTTAAACTAAATCAACAAATACGATACATTACCTTTATATTGCATTTTTTTTTTCAACAAACCAAACAACCATTTAGTTCATTGTATACTTTTACATAAATTCATAAACTGTATAGCAAAGCATCTATTCAATACTTACAATTAAATATAACACACACACACACACAGATATATATATATAT